CCCCCTTCTCCGCCTGCTCCGCCACCGTGTCCCCCACCTGCTGCGCTGCCCCCACCACCGCCTCTCCTGCGTCCTCCGCCGCCGCTTGGCTCTCCTGCGCTGCCCCCCCCACGCTGTCCCGCACCTCCTCCGCAGCGCTGCCCACACTGTCCGCCACCTCGCTGGCCGCCTCCCCCACACTCTCCGCCGCGTCTCCCGCTGCATCCCCTGCCCGCTCCGCTGCCGCTGCGGGCTGCTGCCGGTCGGTGGCAATGAGGACCTCCTTGATGTTGTTCCCCTCCACCACAACCTCCTTCTCCCACTCCGTACCCCCCGCTCCGCTGCGGCCCCCGCTCATGCTGCATGTAACCTGGGCTGGGCCACGACCACCAACGTATCTCCCATTGGTTGGCAGTTGCCGCGGGGCAGCCACAGAGGGGGATCGGCCATAGGCATGCCCTGCAGCTAATGCAACTGATGGTACAGCACAGAAGGAGGAATGGACATCAAACGTGCGGGTTGTAGAGCCAGCATTGGGCCTCTGAGCCAGGCTGCTGCAAGACAGGCTCACAGCTCCTGGGCACCGGCTGACAGCGCAGGTGATGCCACACTGCGCCATTGGAGGGGTCTGAAGAAATTGCCTGGTGCTGCCTTGATTGCCCTGACTGCCCTAAGCCCCCCTCAAGAATGATGAGATCTTTGCAACCTGCCAAGCTGTCTCTAGATTAAGCAGAGAGAGACAGCTTTTGCTTCACCACAATGAGTAGGATTACCTAGGTATGCTCCTGAGCGCCCGCCTCTTGAGTTCTTATAGAAGCTGGCCTCCTAGCTGATGATCGTCTCATGCTCATGAACAATACAACTTTGGCGGTGACTTGGCAGAGGATCCCGACTTGTCGACGTGGCGCCGTTCAAGCCCCTGGAAGTGTGGCCGAATCCTTTCAACGAATAGTAGAGCAGCAAGTGGCGAGTTCTTGACTTTTGCGGAAGCGCCATTTTGGCGGTGCCCCTTGAAACTTCATTGACATTGACATTGAAACTTAAAGCATTTGCTGGGCATTGGCAATGGCCGCATCAATGGCATTGGCAAGGCCGCAGATGCACGATTGGCGAGCTAGTTGCCATGTGTAGCTGAACATTGCTATTGGTACTCATTTGAGGGCTTGATGGTGTTTGGAGAGCCTTCGAGTATCCAAATGCAGCGAGTGCTTGGCCGTACCTGGCGCACATCTTGGTGACGGGACCAGGATTGGCAGCATTGTTGGCTGGGCCCCCGCGGTGCTGCACGATGGTCGGCCCGCTGCTGCACCCGGCTGCGGTGACGCATCAGGGGCGGCTGCAGCAGACGGTGCTGGGCTGGGACTACTTCCAGATGCTGACACAAGCTCAGGCGAGACACCAGCCCAGCACAGCCAGAGCACTGTCGTTGTGACTGCTGTTTTGGGTCCATGGACCTCTTTCCATGTAGGCTGCCCTGATGCCAGGGTGGTGTGGCTGCAGCACACAACCACCAGCTTCTTTGACAATGCTGCACCTTGATTAGCCGGCGATTGCTTGGTCGAAGTCAATAACCGCTCCTTGGTGCGCCCCGTGCAGAAGCAGGACAATGCCCAGCGGAAGCGCAAAAAGGGGGAGCCGCTGCCGGAGGATGGCGCCCTGCGCCCCGTCCCGAGTTCGTTCAGCAGCGTGGCGGAGTACGTGGCAGTGTATGAGCCGCTGCTTCTCGAGGAGTGCCGCGCCCAGATCCTGCGAGGCCAGGACGAGGCGGGCAGGGCTGCCGCGCACCGGGCACGCATTGCCCACTGTGAAGCAGTCAACCAGTTCACGTTTATCAAGCTGCAAGTGGACGAGCAGGTGCGCCACCACGCGGGGCCGTCCTCAACGGTGCCTCCATGTCTAGTCCCAACTTGGCTGTACGATCCACGTAGAGCTAAACGATTGGCGACTTCTCAGTGGCTATGGATTGGTGGTCAAACCGGAGGGTCTGTTGGGTGGTGTGGTGCGATGATGCCGCGTGCCGCGCCGGCTGCAGGTTGCGTCGGACATGGCGGAGAACAATCTGGTACTGCTGTGCCGCGAGAACCCGCTCACGTCGGCCACCACCCCGGCCACCCACGCGCTGGCCACCGTGGAGGGCACCGAGGGCAAGCAGGCGCTGCGCCTCCGCCTGCACCTGCCTGAGCCCACGCCCAGGTGAGCGCAGCCGCTCCGCACAGGACAAACACAGGGGCCGGGGGGGCAGTGCAAGCATAGCTGCCACTTGAGAAGGGACATGTGGGCAGCTTGACTGACGGAGCCTGCCGGCGTGGTTGTGCAGCGTGGCGCCGCGTGTGGCTCGGGTGCGAGCGGCGGTGGCGGAGGCGGGGTCGCTGTGGTGGGTGCTTCAGCTGTGCAACCTGTCCACCATCACGCGCGAGTACACCGCCCTGCACAGCGCCGCTGCGCTGCCCTTCCTGGACGTCATCCTCTCCGCCAAGGCACCCGCGCCCGACGGCCAGGCCCCCACCAGGTACTGGCCAAACATACGTGGGCCCCATGGGTCTGCCAGTCAAAACCGCGGCTGTGCCCCTTGGATGTGGAACAGGGCCAAAGAGACGCTGGCAGGAGGTCACTGTCCTCCGGGCCAGCTGACTTCACGCGATTTGCCCTCAAGAAAGTTTGTGTGTGGCGCAGTGGTTCTGCGCAATGGAGCATCCCGGAGGCGCTTCGCGGGCATCTGGCGGGCAGCCACAACGAGTCGCAGCTGGCGGCGGTGCAAGCGGGCCTCTCGCGCAGCCCGGTGGTGCTCATCCAGGTGCGCCGGCTAGTGTTCCAAGCCGTTCGGGGCACGGGTCCTTTTCGGATGACTCGTGGGCAGCCCCTCCTGGCTTGTCCAGATCTGAGCGATGTAGCCCGAACCTGTAGCCGTCCACCCTGGCAACCACGTGTCATGAAGGCCATCCTCGTTTCTCTTCTAGACGACCTCGTAGCTGCCCCGGCTGACCGTGTCCGCCCCCGGCTGGTGCAGGGCCCCCCTGGGACGGGCAAGACGCAGACCATTCTGGGTCTGCTCAGTGTTGTGCTGCACGCCAGCCCCCTCGCCCAGCAGGCGGGGGCGGCCGCGCAGCTGGTGGCGCGGGAACCAATCTCGGAGCAGCAAAAGCAGGCCGCCTGGAGGGCCGCCGCGCCCTGGATGCACGGAGGCAACCCGCGTGATGCAGAGCTGCCCCTCGACGGAGACGATGGCAGTGGCTACCTGCCCAGCCCAGGCGGGGTGAGAGACCAACTGTAGCCTGAACGAAACAAGCAGGGCGCAGGGCGTACCTGATGATGTAACCCTGCCAGCCCGCGCAGCTTGAGGGTTTCTTGATTCCTTCGCCAGGCATTCATGTAGATCAAGTCATGCAGAGTGTTCGAGACAGTTTTTTTACCCCTTATATACTCCGGCCCCCTCCCCCACCTCCCTCCCGCAGGTGATGAAGGCGTCGGGCCAGGTGCGGCGGCACCGCGCCAAGGTGCTGGTGGCGGCCCCCAGCAACGCTGCGCTGGACGAGATCGTGCTGCGGCTGCTGGCGGCGGGCCTGCGAGATGCGGCGGGCGACCCGTACAGCCCCAGCATCGTGCGCGCCGGCCTGAACGCGCACCACTCGGTGGCCGCCGTCACCATGGATGCGATCGTCACGCAGCGCATGGCCAGCATGGCCAGGGGAGGCGCCCGCGCGGGCAGCACCGGCATGGAGCGCGACAGGATCCGCACTGCCATCCTCGACGAGGCCGCCATCGTGCGTCCCACCCCTGGCGCCCGCACGTTGTGTCGATGGAACCATCTCCAGACTTCACGGTCGTCTGGTGTTGCAGCAGGTGCGAGACTTTGTGCCCCGTACCGAGCATTGTCCACCCTCGTCGTCTCTTACCTCCGTCGCCCTGGCTGCCCGCAGGTGTGCTCCACGCTCAGCTTCAGCGGCTCCGGTGCCTTTGGCCGCATGTCGCGCCCCTTTGACGTGGTCATCATCGACGAGGCCGCCCAGGCGGTGAGCGAACCGCAGGACCCCGCCCTAGAGACCGCACTGCGGAACGGTGTCCCCTCACCTGCCGTTGTTCACACCCTTGTCCTGTCATCTTCTCGATGTCTTCTGGTCGGCTTTCCGGCACAACTCTGCTGACCGCTGCGCTGCCCTACTTGCGGGGTGGCCAGCGCCCGCTCGCCCCATGCCCACACGTGCCTTTGCCCTAATGCGTTTCGCAGGTGGAGCCGTCGACGCTAGTCGCCCTGACGCACGGGTGCCGGCAGCTGTTCCTGGTGGGCGACCCCGTGCAGCTGCCCGCGACGGTGCTGTCGTCGACGGCGGTGCAGTACGGGTACGCGACGAGCCTGTTCTCGCGGCTGCAGCGCGCGGGGTACCCGGTGGTCATGCTGCGCACGCAGTACCGCATGCACCCCGCCATCCGCCGCTTCCCCAGCGCGCAGTTTTACGCCGGCCAGCTCGTGGACGGCGACTCGGTGGCCAAGCAGACGGCGCGCCCCTGGCACGCGCACGCGTGCTTCGGCCCCTTCGCGTTTCTGGACGTGGCGGGGGAAGAGGAGCAGGCGGAGGGCAGCGGCTCGTACGTCAACAAGGCAGAGGTCGAGCTGGCGCTCATGCTGTACCGCAACCTGGCCGCGCGCTTCCCCGACTTCAAGCAGGGGGCCAAGGTCGCCGTCATCTCGCCGTCAGTGCCCGCCCCACCGCATACCTAGCAGCGACGTCTCCATGACATGCGATGCCTTGACCCACTGCTCTGGGTGCTGATCTTGTGCTCTGTCGCCGGTCATACAAGCGACTTCGTCCGTTCAGACGTGAATTGGAAGTATCATGTACTATGACCGGCTCAGGGGGAACTGGATTGAGCTTCTTATATAGACGTAGAGTGCAAAGCTTTGCGCTGCTCGCGGCAAACCGCAATGATCGCACCGTGTGTCTCGAACGCAGATAAATCGTTCGTGACAAGCAGGATGGGCTGTCCCCCTTGCGGGGCAGGTAACGCCATGGCGGCCTACGTTGTCGTGGAGACCCTGCAAGCCTGGCTGGTGGGGGTTGACGCAGCGTGGGGCGCGTGGTGCAGGTACAAGCACCAGGTGATGCTGGCGCGCGAGCGCTTCAAGGCGGCGCTGGGCGCGGACGTGGCGCGGAGCATCGACATCAACACCATCGACGGCTTCCAGGGCCGCGAGAAGGACGTGGCCATCTTCAGCGCGGTGCGCGCCGACCGCAAGCGCGGCATCGGCTTCGTGGCCGACTTCCGGCGCATGAACGTCGGCATCACGCGGGCGCGCGCGTCCATGCTCGTCGTGGGCTGTGCCGCGGCGCTGAAGCGCGACAAGCACTGGGCCGCGCTGATCAAGCACGCCGCCGCCACCGGCTGCTTCTTCCAGGTAAAGCCCCACACTCAGGGGCTATAAGGGCACTGATGCACTGTTTGCGATAAAGCCTTGAAAGCGTGAAAAGCCCTTTGTTCTTCTTCCGAAGTCTTTCGTCAGTGCGTGCCCTGTTGCGTTTGTCCAGGTGTCCCGGCCGTTCCACCAGTTTTTCAGCGACAAGCGGCTGGCGGAGATTGGGCCGTACGTGGAGCCTGAGAACGAGGAGGCTGCGAGACTTGCCGCGGGGGAGGGCGACGCGGCAGAGGAGGAGGGAGCGGCGGGCGAGGACGAGGAGGAGCACGTGGAGGAGCTGAGCAACGCGGTGGTGCTCACCGACGAGGGGGCGGAGCAGGTGCGCTCTACGAAGATCGTGCAGGTCTCTTACCAATGACGAACCATCGCCGGAACGTACCTAGTGCGTTCCGGCTCGCAGAGGCAGCCTCGCATCTGACGAGCGGGTGAGGCAGTCCGCCCACGGCCGTACAAGCTGGTCGCCAACGGCTGGTTTACTTTTCCAGCCCTGACTTCCTTTTCGGTGCTTGCTAATGGCTCCTTACGGTGATGCAGAGAGTACTGACGGCGGACATCGAGCATGCCGAGGTGGCAGAGACGTCGCCCGCAGAAGCGGCAACAACGGCGAGTGGCGTCGGCAGTGCCGTGGTCAGGGGCGAAGCGTCACAAGAACCGAGTAAACCTACGGCACAGACTCCAGTGCCGGAGCCGACTGCCAAGAAAGGAAGGAGGCAAAAACCCTGATCGCCATTGTAAAGGGAGCCCTTGACTAGTCGAGCAGCTGTTGTAACTAGTTGATTCTGAAATGATGTACAAAGCGGAGATGCAGATTGAGCATGCTGAGATACACGTTACTTTCTGTAAGCGATGCAAGAGACAAGGTGCGAGCCGGCTTTACGCATGTCGTCCGGTTGCGAACATGTGCCTAAAGCAGCATAAGGCGCCATGATTTTGTGATGAATAACTGTGTGGCGCTTGATATGTACCTGTCGACAAGCTCATGAAGGGCAAGATCAGGACGTACTCACAAAAACGCGTCTGAAGATTAGCGTTCGCTTCCCGAATGGCAGCATTCGTGCTGACAAAGAGGCCACCCGCTCACTTGTCACCCGGCATGCACCGTTCTCATGTTAAAAGTCCGCAGGTCTACGGGGTTCGCGTCCGGTCTGTCGTTCTTTTTACAATCATGCTGCATGGAGCGCTGCATGTGGCAATGGCCGACATTCCAGGTGCCGTGGTGCATATGGGCGAACATCGCATGTGACTCTAAGTTGGCTTGGCCAATGAAAATGGCCTCCCTAACCGGGAGGCATTCTCGGGGGTAGTCCGAGTCTGGCTCGGGGAATCAGACGCGGATGGTTCTTGACACCGAGAACTGGATACGTTTAGGTTGTGGGTATGGGCGTGTTAAGGTCCATGACCGGTAGACGACCCCGGTCATTTGCTGATGCATTGGGTTTGTTTTGGGTTTGCTCGACCGGATTGATGTGCATTGATGTGCAGAGCAGTGGGCCCAATGGCACCAGTCAACGGTGTGGATTGACCGGAAGATGGATTGACGGACTTCGGTCTCCGAAAGATCAAGGGCTTGCTATGCCACGTTGGCAGGCGGTAAGGGTTTAGCCAATAGCCGCGAAATTGACATGCCAATACAGGGAGGCAACGAGTATGGATGGCATGCCAATTTTCTATTATGTATCGTATATTGTTGTCAAACTGAGTGCTCCTGCTCGCGCGCTCGAACGCGCTGGTTCTTGGCCAGCTGTTGCTGACCAATCATGCACGGGTGGTATATGCAGCACAGGGCCCATATGGGTCACGTGGATCAGGCCCCAGGGCCCATCCCAGCACTGGCCAAACTCGGACTCGGAGTCGGAGTTGACGCCACTCCCAAGTCCGAGACTCCGAGTCCGAGTCAGAACGTCGGTGGCAGAGGCAAGCTGTCCAGAAAGGTACCTAGAACGCAACCGGAGCAAGGCCGGAGCTTTGAATGCTGCCAGTGCATTGCTAGATCAACAAGCACATCAAAGGCGATCCATCCGCAGGAGTACGCAACGTTCATGCAAGCATAGTAGTTTTCACCACTGTAGTCCAAGTCCTTCCTGGTCCTTCGGTATCACTGCATTCCAGTGTTCTTTCACAAGCTCAGCTGGCTGGTATCCAAGGAGGTGTGTGCATATTCTATATAGTCAAGCCATACTAAGCGAGGAATACTTGGATACTGTGGATCATTCTAAAGAAAGGAGCTTGCTTTTGGCTGTCGGGTGGATATCTTGATTGGACAACCACCGGCTGGTAAGCAGATCCTGCTTTCCAATGCTGTGAAAAACTATGCAGATGTAGCCCTGTTGTCATGACCACAAGCCCCTAGCTCATACAGGTTCTGCTTCTCAAGGGTGTAATGCTGATCCAGTGGCGTGGCTGCATTGTCTGCGCTGTCATGATCCACATTGCTTCTTGCACCCGAAGTCTCCTTTGAAAGAAAAACCTCTCGTTCAGGAGGAGGAATGAGGATGCGAACACCTCTCGTTCCTCACCTCAGATCCTCTGAAGGCTTTCCTGCCATCACTTACCATGCCCAATTCCATTGCAATGCTAGGCTGTCTTCTTACGCTGCTGATTGTCCTCGCCGTTCTCGGTCCAGATCTGCCCTCTCGCCCCTTGCTGGTGCTTGCTGCCTCAGATGGGAGGAGGCGCGCTGGCTGTGGCCCGGGTGACAGGCAGTTCTTCAGTGGCGGCGTGCAAGCTCGCAGCCACAAGATCTGTGCACTGCGGTGCACCCTCGGGCAGCCCGGCACTGCTCTGCGGGTCGGCAAGGGGCAGCCACAGCAGCAGGCGGCACCTGCGAGGGGACCCGTGCCAAGATCTGCGGTCTAGCGCATTCCTGGCTGGGGAGCACCATGGTGTGTTGGCTGGGGGGGTGGTGAGGCAGCAGCAGCATGGGCGGGCAGGGCTGCGGATTGCAGCGGCACTCGACACATCGGACGTGGTAAAGGCAGCGGAAGGATCCAGTAAGTGGCACGACATTTCAGCAGACCGTGCATCGAAAGCAACGAATCACTCCATGATCAATTCTGAAGTTGCGCTTGGTGACACAGCCCGATCGCTGATGGCCAAGGGGATGCGGGAGCTGCTTCAAAGAGAGCTAAAATCACCCTTCACTCACTGGATTGATGGTTTGAGAATACAGCAAGAGCCATTGCTTGGACCTCACATAACGCCTGATCCATTGTTTGCATTCCTAGCCCGGTCGGTGCTGTGACTTCCTGCTGCCTGGATTTTTTGAAGTTATATCCCTTCGCCAGATTGCCTTGAGCACCCCTGACGCACGACCATGCTGGCCGCTTCTGCTGCACTCTGGTCTGATTGCGGTGCGCGTGGCTAGCTGCAGAGTCGGCGGCGCTGGTGATGATCCGGCATGGGGAGTCGCTTTGGAATGCCAAGAACCTGTTCACGGGCTGCGTGGACGTGCCGCTGAGCCAGCAGGGCATTGACGAGGCGCTGACGGCGGGTACCCGCATTGCAGACATCCCGGTGGACATCATCTTTGTGTCAGCGCTGATGCGCGCGCAGATGACCGCCATGATCGCCATGACGCAGCACCGCCGCAAAAAGGTCAGCCACCGGGAGTGGTGCACACTGCCTCCAGGCGGGACTGGCACTTTAAGAAGCTCGGATAGCAGCTGCTGGCAGGTTTGGGATGATACAATGACTGAGAAAGTGAATGCTAGTAGTGTAGAAAATCAGAGGTTGTTGTCCTTCAGTTTGATTGAGGGTGATTTCACCCCGGTCAATGCAAGCTGATGCTGTGCTGGCCTGGTGTTGACGCTGGGGCTGGGTTGCAGGTGCCGGTGATCTTGCACGAGGAGAGCGACCGCGCCAAGGAGTGGAGCACCATCTTCTCGCAGGCCACCATGAAGGAGGTCATCCCCGTCAAGACCGCCTGGCAGCTCAACGAGCGCATGTGAGGGCCCCCAGCCACACCACCCCTGGCCAGTGCACACGCCAGACTGCACGGGCTGTGCTGATCAACCGCAGCTCTGATGTTTGCAACTTGTCGGTGGCTACCCTCTGGCGACGTACAGAGTGCGTACTTGGTGGCCCGCTCACCACGCTGTGACTTTGTGCAGGTACGGGGAGTTGCAGGGGCTGAACAAGGCAGAGACCGCGGACAAGTTTGGCGCGGACACGGTGAAGCAGTGGCGCCGCAGCTACGACATCCCGCCGCCGAATGGGGAGAGCCTGCAGATGACCGCAGAGCGGGCCGTTGCCTACTTCAAGGCAGAGGTGAGGGAGGCCTCCAAGGGGAAAGTGAGGAAGGGCGCTGGCGGACTGGGGCGACTGTGCACTGTGGAAGTGCAGGAGGCTCCGGCGACGGACTGGGGTTTGACTGGGATGGTGGGGCAGAGTCGCGCCGGCGCGGTTGCGACTTGACTTGAAGAATGCCAGGCTGTTGCATCGGCGGGGCTTCTCTGAGGCTGCCTCGCTTGCCCTTTTGCTATCAGGTGGTGTGACATGGCGGGTGGGCCTGTGTGTGCAGGTGGAGCCTCTGCTGAAGGCGGGCAAGAACGTGCTGATCAGTGCGCACGGCAACTCGCTGCGCGCCATCATCATGTACCTGGACAGCCTCACCTCCGAGCAGGTGCTCGCCCAACGCTGATTCCATCAGTTGACGGACCCCACTTTGGGGTTCCGTCCTTACAGTTTGCTACTTGTTGGTAGTGGACATGCAACATGTGCCGGTCCCCTTCTGCCTCATTCTCCTTCTCCGGGGACAGCCTGCCAGCCCCAGGCACTCATCATTGACAAGTGCGTGACACAATGGCTGACCAGCGGCGCGCGGCGGGTTGCAGGTGATTGAGCTGGAGCTAGCGACGGGCAACCCGATGCTGTACGTGTACGAGGAGGGGGCCTTCAAGCGGCGGGGCAGCCCCGTGGGGCCAGCGGTGGACGGCGTGTACGCTCTCACCCCGGTGAGCAGCCTGGACGCGTGTCCAAGCGCAGATGAGCTGGTTGCGTTGAGAGCAGTACAGGCCACGCCAACGCGCTGGTTGTTTGCAACCATTCTCCGCTCCCTTGTGGTCGTGCTGACGGCCGCCCTGTGGCGTGCAGGACCTGGCCACTTACCGCAACAAGCTGGAGTCCAAACAGTGACGGGCAAAGCAGCCGGGGCCAGCCTGCCGCAATGGGTGACTGCTGAACCTCTGTGACCCCACCCATTGCTTCACGTAACATCGAAGACATTTGAAGCAATGCATTTGTAAAGCTTCTGGACGGATGTGTTGGTAGGTCTACATTCAACGTGTACATTTATATTGTTTCTGAAAGCAGTGGCCTACGCAAAGCAGGTCGATTAATTGAGTCGAACTCCAGATCGACAGATTTCTGGCGACAAGAGACAAGGGTTGCGTCTCGAGTCTAAACAGATACGAACACATGCTTTGACATGTTATGATTGTGGCAAAATATGCCATTTGGACGGCTGCTTGGAGGAAACGCGTAAGCTTAATCACTAGCCTTGCCCTGTGCCGTCTATGCTATGGGACTGTACAGCACTCTGTTGGCCAACGATCCCTTTGGTTCACAATCAAAACCTTCTGCGCTGGATGATTTGTAAGCCGCCTCGAGCTGAAAGATGGCAGTTGCTGGACAACATCACGTAGTCTAGCTGCTGCATCTGAGTCAAGCCTCTCACATCAATCAAGAAGCGTCCGTATATTGGCAATGATGATACTAATTGATTGCGAGCTTTCTCGATTGTCTGACGCTGCTTAATTGAATGGCAAATCGATGCGTGTTTATCAGGGGCACCAAACTGAGCTGTACGTGACTATGGGCGCTGCATGCCTCCAAATCCAAGATCGACAGCTATGGCTATAATTGCTGGGATCGCGAACTTTAAGGACTTTTTAAGATACTCGGCCGAGTCAACCAAACTAGCTCGTCGGCCTGAAGCTTGTGTACATGCATATGTTAAAGCTGGTAGCTTGGACTATCTTCGATCCTATCATGGGTGACGGTGCAAATATTAACTTTCTGGAAAACGTGAGGTTTGAATGCGAAGCGACAGGCACCGCAGCTTCCGAACCAGCATGCAACTCAAAACTCATGAAGGGTGCATGCAAAAGCAGACAAGTGCGCTTCAATGAAAGTGCTGGACAAATAACATCCGCCTGAAGCCTCGATGGTACATGTTGCATGAGCAGCCACCCTACATTCGTTTAGGTCGGTGACACAGAGCGAAGTGGCTCTCTCAGACAAAACAATGAGGCACCGAAAGAGGTCCACTCCGACCGCCTGATCCACGGCTCGCAAGGGCAACTTCCTGAGTCCCTGATCCGAGCAGGTGCATCCTGAACTCGGAGGTTCCGAACCGTGTTTTCATATCTCCAATGACGCTGGACCCAGAGCATCACCGTTGCGGAGGTGGCGGCGGCGCTCCTTGTTGTGATGGAGGGGGGGGGCGATAGCCCGGAGGAGGGGGCCCATAGCCGGGGGGGGGCATGCCGGGCATGGCGCCAGGGGGGGGACCCCTGGGAAGAAACGGAAGACGAGCGTGAGCAAGGACACAAGAAAACATAGCGCCCTAACGGAAGAAAGGGAGACAAAATGAACATGTCTGAAGACCTGAGACTCGTCAAAGATCCTGCGACTAGACTTCAAGAAGCTCTGCGTCCATCATGGGCAAAGCCTCAGTCCGTTGACTGCTGATGCTGACTACCTATTCAATCAGGGCAAACTCTATGGAAGCAGTCTTAGGAGATATGGCCCGGAAAGAAGCTATAGACGCGTCAAGGTTTTGAGCATCGTTTCCGAAAGGACATCGCGAATTGCAACCGTGCGGTCTGGAGGCTGGTTTTCAACACAAACCAAAGACCTACCGATGAAAGCCGTCCCATCAAGTGCAAACCATTCCAAAATTGTTCCAAAGTCGAAGTGCATACGGAAGGGTACTTAGGGATATCCACTTTTCAATGTGCGAACAACATGCGTCCATGACATTTGTTGTCGTATGCTAAATGGCACCTCTCGACAGAGGGCTTTGCCCAGTTAGGAGCGCCATAAGTCAGACCTTAAGCAAGTACTTGGTGCAGCCTGCTCCAAGCATAAGGGGCAAGAGAGCAGAGACTTGCGGCGCACCTGTACCCAGGGGGCGGTGGGCCCATGTTGGCAGGAGGGGGCCGAGCCCAGGGGGGAGCCTGCGCCCCTCCTTGCTGGGGGGGGCCTCGGGGAGGCCCTGCCTGGCCCCAAGGAGGAGGGGGCCCACTCGCAGGGGGGGGCATCCGCGGAGGCCCCTGCATCTGGGGTTGCCCGTATTGCGTGGGGGAGGGGGGGCGTAGTTGGGGGAGGGGGCTGGCCATACGTGGCGGGGGTGGGGGGGATACGTGGCGGGAGGGGGAGTGGTGTACGTGGAGGGAG